GTCTTCAAATCTTGAAGGTTTCGTGGACCTCTTCTATGAACTCTGATCTTTAGTTTTTTCCATGTTTCTTGTGTGATACCTGGCCATCATTTGGGACTGAACCAGCTGATATTAATTTGCACTGACAAGGGGCAGGCTTGCTTTCTAATTACTGAGAGAGTTCAGCTGGTGTCTTGGCTTTCCATGCCTTTTTACACCCCCCTTTCTTCATGTGTTCAATACTTTTCCCCTGTGTCATTCCACATTATTACAAATAACTTCATTCCTGGACATTTATGGTTTGATTTCTTTGTATGTATGGATCACTTGGGTTGTTACCGGCATCTGGTGAAAATTTCATGACATTAGCACCTCTAGTAATATATTTACTGAGAAAAATGTTGACATGTTCAATACTTATTTTACCCGCTGTATTATCTTACCTGATTCTTCTTTTCAGGGTTGCTGGGGTCACTGGTGCCCATATCCAGGAGTCACTAAAATGTACAAATGCTAAAAATGCAAACTACCTTAATAATTCTGACAGTTCACCACTGGTTTATACACATTTGATGTTCTCTTAGCTGGTTCTGAATGTTCTGTGCCTAAGTGTTTCAACATATGCTTTAAATGTTCTGCTATGATGAGCAACCCAAGAAAATGGGAGTGTTTAATTTTTTTTTGCCAAGTTGGGATTTAGATGTAGTGAAACGTACGTTTTTATTGACCTCCCAAAATTTATAAAATGGTGGTAAGTCCTTTGTATTTTTCAAAAGCTTTAAATCTTTCATTTTATTTCTTGACTCGTATTTTATATGACCCTAATATGTTACAATTTATTGTCAGTTTAACAGGGAATTACATGAAAACCTTGTAGAGGATTAATGCTCACTTCCTGTTTGTTTCAGACCCATACGATGACGATGACCTGAAGGTGAAGACCCAAAGACCACGATCAGCTGACCTGCCAGGTGTGTTTCAGGCACAAACAGGTGAGTGTTGGGAGTGTGAGGTGGTCTCCACATCCTGCAGCTGCTTGACGAGTCACATGCGTGGATGTGAGAAATAGCGTGTGACTTTAAAACCTTAAATAGTTAATAGCTTCAGAAGAGATACACTGAATTATTAATGATAAGAGCGTGTGAATTTTACAATTAGAGAAGTCTGTCACATGCAAATAAGAAACTCTAGACAACCTGTTTTACCTTATAGGTAAAAAAACAAAAAAAAACAAATTTAATGTTGAGTTGGAACCTATTTACTCATGTTTCCCTGCTACCAGCCACCACTGTGCGAAGGAGGGAGTCCCTACTGAGAGGAAAACCCTTGGCTGTGTCTTGTCCTTCTCCACTGCTCTCCTCCTCCCATTCTTCCATCCCTCCAGGCATGTGTGATGAGCTTAAGCCCTGACTCACGGCATGTTAATGAAGATGTAATGCGATTAACGGACATGCAATTAATTTGATTTCCTTCTTTGCCGTGTGATGACGCCTCCATCAAAGGACACGGAGCTCATAAACAATTTAGAAGGCGAGAATCTGAATGTCTTCAGTTGCTGATTTCAAGGGCACAACTGAGAGGAAACAATGGGAGACTCTTCACAGCTGCCTGGAGAACTCAAAATCAGCAGCGAGCATGTCCACACACCCCCGTCTTATATGAGTGCTTGCATTTATCCAGACACAGATGTTAGGACTTATACACTTTCATCAAGGTTTTTTTTTTTCTATAAATATGTTCACGTTCTGAACATTGCACTGGAACACAAGACATGGACATTATCCTCTTAGACTATTAAGTAAAGATCTCTTTACATTAGGAAGTTTAAACATTATGATCTCCAATCATTTTTGAAACATAATGATCTCCAATCATTTTTGTCTGTGTTTAAAATAAATAATTTTAATTTTGACTACAACATCAGAGTCACCCTTCAGGTTTTCAGTAACCATACTGTGCTGGGGCATGATTACCATGTAATTACAAGGTAATAAAATGTAATTAAATGTAATTACGTGGTAATTAGGGTACACAATTAAAGCTACTGTTAGTAAAACTACCTTTACTGGGTAACTACAATTAAATTACTGTTCAATAGTAACTCAACACTATATTTATAACCAAAATAATGCAACTAATTTTTGGGGTTAGTGGTTAGTTGCAATAAAATATAACTTTAAAACTGTACAAATTACCTACTACTTATTTAGGTGTTACATAGTGAATTGTAATTCATTACCAGGTAAGTGCTACATTACTGCAGACAGTTAATTACATAGTAAAATTGTACCATAATTACCATGTAATTACATGGTAATAAGGGTACCATAAAAGAAAGCGTCACCCATGATTTGATCAAAAAGAATAAGTCATTTGCTGTATCTGACTTTTTGTTTTCATTGATACTATGGTTGAGAAACACAGTCACTGAGACAATCTCCTTTTAAAGTTGCCTGTAATATTTCACAAATTTATAAGTCAAGCTAGCCGTGTTAGCAGCAGCTTATACATTTGTAACCAGTAAATGTACTACTTACTCCACCACCTAGGAGATGCCAGCACTGAATAGACTTCAAATCACTCCTCCTAGTAGTTTGATCAGAGTCTCAGGCAGATTTTTTTGAGTGAAAGGGGACAAGCAATGTTAGTCATGTTAAGTACAAAAAAAAAGTAATTTACATGACTAGATCAAGGTGGGGTATTATGCTAAATTGATTTTTTTGAGCTTTAAATCTTGTTATAATGTCATTCCCTCATCAAAAACATACCCAGAGTGTTGCTCTGACTCATTCATGCATGTTTGAGACATCCTTGAATCTCCTGTAGTAGCCATGTGGAGCTGCCGAAACACTAGCTCATACAAAAAGCTACCTATTTACCCAAGGCTCCTCATACTGAGCATCTGTACCCTGTACCTTCCCCACACAGCTCCAGACTAACAAAATACATCTTAAAAATGGTGGATGTTCTTGATTTCATTGCAAAACGCTTAACATTGACACATGTGTATGAGGGGATGACTTGGAGATTTATTTCCATGCTGAAACATCTTGTAAGAGCCTCTGATCTTGCTCTGGTCTTTTAGAAAATGTGCTTTACAGAGCTAACGTGGGATCATTCAAGTAAGGTTCAACTGTATCCTGAAATACCATTTTCCAAAACTCAATATTATATAATGTTGTCTTTTTTTAACAACAAAATTCAACGTTCCTGCAAAAAAAAAGTTGTAAACAGCATGAAGCATTGATGTGATGACGTACTGAAGTGAGTGCTGTAAACAGCCTATGATGTTCTTAAAGAGACAGAAGCCATCAAGGGGTTTAGATACAGCTATGATGCAAAGTCAATTTTATTTTGGATACATACAGCATTTTCATGACAACTGAAGGTAATATAGTTATTTGATTGTGGTATAGAATTGAATCATGTGCCTGGAAAATGCATAATACAACCCCTCCCACCCCCACCCATACCCCGGTCCCTGAAGAGTACATTATTTAACCAGGCTACAACTTTAGTAATAAAACTGAGTAATTATGACAGTGCAAACTAAATAACCTGCAAAAAATGCATATACATGCACAAATATACAAACAATTTAACTTTGTTCTCTTGTATTTCTTCCCCAGTGTCACTTACAATTACACTGTATGGTGAAAAATAGTGTAGGCAAAGAAAAGCCGTGCTGTTAAGAGTCTTGCAAATGTTCAGTGTAGTTCGTGTAATCAAATTTTATCCCATTTACCTTTCTTTGAGTATTAAATGTTTTCGTGTCATGAATACAAAAGTTGCTGTCTAATGTCATCTACTCATATTTAGCCTGTTCCCTATAGCAGGCTTTAGGTTTTTTTTTTCTTTGCGTGTGTGTGTGTTTGTGTGTGTTTGTTTTATAAAATGTAGCTTGTAGAATTGCCTAAAAACCAGATTAACATGATTAACAGCCAGCTATAATCTTCTAACAACACATGCTAATTAGCTTTAGCAAAACATGGCAGTCGACTACTAAACATATCATTACACGCGCACATTCTCGAGCTAATTCTAAACTATAATGCCCATGTTGTTTACACCCACTGAACAATAATACAAGTGGACCAGTAAAGAGGTTACTCCTGTCACAACTTCAGTAGGATTACTCAAGCTGTGAATAAATTCTGCTGAAATGTGTTTGTGAAACTGAGATTGTGATATTGCTTTGGGAAAAAGAGAAAATAAATTTAGTGCTGCAGGTCAAACATTATTTAATTGGTCTTTGTAATTAATTAATTTGCTGTAAAAATAACTTGTGACTGAAGGGTAAAAGCCGCAATTCAATGTAAATATCAATATAAAGAACTCAATCTCTCCAAACAGGCCTTTTGTGACAGCCATCACAAACTGTTTTTATTCATCACTTTATGTGTTTAACATGTGCAGAGATTGCAGTTTCACTGCTTTATTGCCAGACAATTGCAATGTTTACTCTATAACCCAAACAAAATTCTATTTCATATATGTAATAAAAGAGAAAAGCAGAAATGAGTGAATGATCAATAAAGCCAACTTTTTTTAATATCTTGTGTTCTGTTTGAATTTGTAGGAGAAATTTATCTTCAGCAACACTTTTTCTCATTTGACCTTTTATTACAGTTATGAGCTGCAATACTGCCATTCATTTGATGTGATTATTGTTTGCAAATGTTTTTTTCTCAAGTATATCTACGCTTATATACAGTATGCCTGAAACATGAGCTGAGTGTGTATCATCTCCCTTGGTTTGTTAGATTTGTTGAAGTTCCATTTAAACAAATTGTGTGTCTATCTCTACATTTTGCTCCTCAGGTGACCCCGCAGCAGAGGAGTGGTCACCATGGAGTGTGTGTTCTTTGACGTGTGGGCAAGGCTGGCAAGTGAGGACACGATCGTGTGTTTCCTCTCCCTACGGTACGCTGTGCAGTGGTGCTTTGCGGGAAACACGCATGTGCAACAACACCGTGTCCTGTCCAGGAGAACCCGGAATCATGAGCCCAGGTACATCAAGCCGATTGTCTGATGGGTGGCATTGTAGCATCGCCTTTTTTTCGAGACTACTGACTGGTTGCTTGTAGTTTTGCAGTCTGTTTGATGAGGAGATTTTCAAATGCATATGACTATACAGCTCCCACATTCTGCTGTGCTTTCTATGTCTCACACCTTTTTTTTTTTTTTCAAAGCACACACATACTTTCTGGTCACCTCTCCCACCTTTGCGGCAATCAGTTGTCTATTTTTAGGTGCTAATTAAAGTGAAGACAATAATTACACTCTGAATGTTACTTTAGAACAGGGGTGGGCAATCCTGGTCCGTGAGGGCCGCAGCCCTGCATGTTTTTTTTTTTTTTCTGATCAAACACACCTGATTTGAATGAATGGGTGATTATCAGGCTTCTGCAGTACGGAGGACCAAAACTGACATAATTAAAAATAAAAGCGGAAATATATAAATTGGCAAATAAATAAATACACTTAATG